TATATATATATGTATATATATATGTATATATATGTATGTATATGTATATGTATATATATATGTATGTATATATGTAAATATATATATGAAATAAAATATAAATAATATTAAGAAAAATAGGCCTATTTATAATAACATTCCTTCCTTCGTGAAGTCATTCACATGAGCTACACAGTTAGTCTTTAATGTAGCCTCATTTTAAGCGAATATAATATATATAAAGGTTACAGGTTAACGGTTATTCATTAGTATAATAAATTATACTTGTTATTAATTTACTGGAAAAGTCGTAGCAGGGTCACCGACGAGCAAGTTAACAGCATGACCCCCCCCCCCCATTTATACTCATGGGTGGAGACAGGCAAAGTAAAGTGCCTTGCCCAAGGACGCAAGCAATGTGAAGATTGAGCGTCCCTTTCGAACTCCCGATCTCATGATCAGAAGTTCAACACCTTACACGCAGCGCCTGTGCCACACGCTCCAACATGGTTCCAAAGGTGTAGTAGAAAATTATCTGTTTTGTAATTGGTTCTACAATCTTTGTTACCTAATAAACACTGTTTTACAAAAAAAAAAAAAAAACTATTTTCCACAGTAATTTGTTAATTTGCATTTTGAGAAATGGGCTGCAAATTATAATATCTTGATGTTGTTATCGGTATGACGCAGCTTGAAATGGAATTATTACTCAATCCTCTGACAGTGTATTTCCAGGGAACAGTGAATTTGGTTTGGATGGTATTTCAAACCATTATTTAGAGAATGAATTATTTAGTATTTTAATTTGGTCACATGCATTGTAAAAATGTCAATATATTACACAAATCATTCGAAGTATATAAACTTAAAAAACAATGTTAAAAAGTTGTTGTTAACACCTTTCTTACCAACAATATATTCAAATAATGGTAACGTGTGTTTCACAAATAATTGCCCGGTTATAGTGGGTCTGACTCTCAAACGTTTATCTGAATTATCTTGTTCTCGACTTACATGCAGATCTTCCAAAGATAGGTAATCTAGATAGTCAAGATAAAAGCATTTCTGAATAATAAAAAAAAAAAAATAAGGTAAAATTTGTAATTTTATTGGACATATCTTGTGCCTTTAAACAAAAACAATTGTGTACGTTATAATGTCTTAAGGAATATTTCCACCGAATCCGAATTTTGTGTGTTGGAATAGAGACGGCACTCAGCGTTTTGGAAACTTGTTCGGTTTTTTTTCCTGATGTGAGTGCTGCCTTACTCCCTGGTATTGAAACTTTTTGATATGATGACTCTAATCAAGCCATGTCACCTCGGCGACCCTAGCCCCAACGGCTGAACTTCATTCACAAATCTTCCTCTTGAAACTGTTTCTATTCCAATTAAAACATTGAAATGACTTTATAGGAATTAAATTAGTCATGTTGTGAAAGAGGAGTACGGTAGTACAATATTAGTACTAAAATGGGACTCAGAAGGCGCTGGCATTATTATCCATCGATAATACATTTTACGTGGATTTTATTGATGTTAAAAACCATGTCTATGCATAATTTACACTCGAAGTATACACACATTTTCATCTGCTGAAAATATACCAAGAACGATGTAGTAAGGGTGTGTCGCATCTAGATAACTGTGGGAAAACAACATAATCAATCTGCTGCTCTCCCCCCCCCCCCCACTCTCTCTCCCTCTTTGACTTTTTATCGGTTTAGACAAGCTGATAACATGCAGCAACATGCTTTATCAAATTGTAAATGATTAACATGCATTCACAAAATTGGTCGTTTGTAAACATTCAGATGTTCAAAGCGTTTTAAGTCTTACGCTTAAAATGCATTCACAAGCTTATGTGAATACAATACAGTCACGTATCTAGGAGTCTTGAAATGATAGATGATGGCGAATTATGATGAGGGGAGGGGCTGTCTCTTATACACATCTAGATGTGTATAAGAGACAGGAATAGGGATGTCCCAAAGGAGGGGTTCTACTGTATCTGTATTATATGATAATATATTATTAATCATTATTTCGGCCCCGAAACATGGACTCAGAAATACCACACTGGTATCCGACGGGGTACTGTGGGTTACCGGTACTTCATTAAAATAGTAATATATTTTTAATAATTTGCTTTTATGCGGCAAGTTATTCAAGACTAAGTGCAGTACTTACATGGTTACCCAAACTTGAATGACACTTATACATTCATACAAAGTAGGAAAGGATGTTTGACAACAACGATACAACTTGTCATCTAGTATTAAATTGCTGCATATTATTTTTATTTTTTTCATAAATTTTGGGTGACCCTATAAAAATTTAAATTGTGACCCTATTTTGGTGTGAAGTGGCTAGAGTATTTTTCAATTATGCATAATTATGTTATTTTGAGACTTCAATGACCTGCAATAATGAGAGGAGCAATTAGGTTTTGGTGACTTTTTCCTCTTCTATATTTGCCTTTTAAGCGTATCAACAAAAATGAATTGTTTTTTATGAGGAAAACACTTATAAATATCGATATCTGTTGCGGAGAATTTGCATTTCTTGCTGTTGTGTTCTGTCGTCAAAACTTATAGAGGTGGAACTGAGATCAACGCAACACTGACGACGAAAATGTATGAGAAAACATAAGCATGCTTTCATTAATTTTTTTCGTTGAGTTTACATAAATGGAGAATAACATTTCTCTTATGCATAATTAATTTGAAGTAATTCATAAATAAACCATCGCCCGCTGAGCACCATCCCTATCTGGAGTTCGGGGCCAGAAAATATATTATAAAAGCAAATTATTAAAAATATATTACTATTTTAATGAAGTACCGGTAACCCACAGTACCCCGTCGGATACCAGTGTGGTATTTCTGAGTCCATGTTTCGGGGCCGAAATAATGATTAATAATATATTATCATATAATACAGATACAGTAGAACCCCTCCTTTGGGACATCCCTATTCAGGGGACTTCCCTATTTTCAGTGAAACTAAGGGAAATATATTTTTTTAACTACGGCCAACCCCTATCAAGAGTACTGCCGTAATTTGGAAAAAGGCATTAACTCCATTTTTTGAGATTTTTGGATTTTTGTTTCTATGGCATCCTATAGATGTAATCTATCATGTGAATTGATCCTATACCCCAAAAAATGTCCAGAAATATGAAATAAATATTATATTTACGCATTAACTCCAATCCATGAATGCAGAATAATTTGGAAGAAGGCATTATCTCCAACAAACAATGAACAGATAATAATGAACCAATCACAGAAGACAATTACGCATAGTTAATTAGTCATGATGGCTTGTAAATGCACATAATGCCTAGCTTTACTTCGGTTTAAAAAAAATGGCATATTAAAAAATCTTCTACCACTAATGAGCGAGAATAGAAAAGCCTTTTGGAGAAACATGCCTATTGGCGATGTTGCTGATTTGATAGATAATTGAGTAAAAAATCAGGCCAATAATCGCAATAAAATACAGAAAATACCATTATTTTGAATGCTGATAAAAGTTATAAAATCACAATAAAAATAAAGAAAAGAATATTTTATTACTTTCAATGCTGTTAAAGTAATAAAATCACAAAAAAAATTAAGAAAATAATATTTCATTATCTTCAATGCTGGTAAAATGATGTTGACAAATAAAAGAGAAAACCTAAAACTCGTCTAACTTTGATTCATTTAGATTCTATTTATCTACCACACCATTTTATAGAACCATTTACCTCACCGAATAGTGTCTTTAATTTTGAATAATAGCTTAAAAAAGTATAATTTGTGTATTTGGGCACTTTTTACATGATTCGTAAATACAATATTAAGATTCGAAATATGTAACTTCGCGTTTGTAAAATAGAAGTCTGTAAATTTAGTATACGTAAATTAGAGGTTCTACTAAGTATATTAATACTATTCTTCATAATATAACCATCATATATCAATATCATTGTATTCTGATTGAATATAAAAATGATAGCAGCTTAATTTGAACAATAATAATAATTTTATCTATTTTTATACGTGTACAATACAATGATGACTCCTGAATTGATTATAAATTTATACTATAATATTAATTTTAACTTACATGGACTAAATTTCGTGAAATAAATAATTGACACTGGCATACATTATTTGTTTGTCAGAAATACTGTAATTTGGCTACGTAAGGTACATATTTCCCTGGAAAAACTGGAGTTAATGCCTAACTTCAGATTTTTCACGCACCATTGACTCCTGTTAAAATTTGGAATAGTGCATTATCTCCATTTAAATAGGGTTAAAGAACAAAAATCACCATGGAAATTATTTAATATGTTTTTTAATTATATGTATAGTATATTTGCCAAAAAAAATTACTAGAATTCATTTCCAGTAAAAAAGGCTAACGACAAACGCGTTTTTCTCAATAACTCAAAACTAGGATTTTGGAGTTAATGCCTTTTTCCAAATCACGGCAGAGTACACCCCTGAGTATGCCAAATGTTCGCATAACTCCTATTTTAAGTGGACACTTAATTTTTTGTATCATTAATACCACTGTATCGCAGCAGTATACAGCAGTCTTAAAATAATAATAAAAAAAA